GTAGAATTGACATTCATAGAATCATACCAACATAGACGTTGAATTAAAAGTGTTAATATTAAACAAATAACACACTAGTTACAATAATAGTGAAACATTACACATTAAAATGTCATAAAAAATCAATATTTGGAATTGCTGGTCGTATATATGTACTTGACATCAAAAATTTTATCTCTTAGAGGTTTTTATTTACTTTTTTTAAAAAATATTTTTAGTTCGTGAATATTTAACAAGGTTAAAAATGAGTGGGAGCTATAACACCTCTCCCCCCCAAGTGTCTGCTTGGTGTGTAGCGAGGCAGCTTTACTTCTTAAACGCAAAAGTTTTTTCAGGCTTTCATTTAAAGTTGTATTTCCAATGGTTTTATCAAATTAAAATAAAATCTGTTTCACTTCATATGTAATAAACATTCAGTGACATGTTTAGAACAATTATACAGCTATACAGAGGCGAACAGGTATTCGTATTGGCGTAGATGAACGCGTAGGAACTTAGAAGAAGTGTCTTGCAATTCGTCTAAGGATGAGAGACGCTGTATTTCTCTCGTACACATAAAACATACATTATAACAAACGTAGTGTATTACGAATTACATGCATGATACCAGGAAAGTGGGTAGGCGGTTTTGGATTGGATTAATTTGGCTTAGGTTAGAGAGTACTGACGTGCTGTTGTAAACACGGTAATGAACATTCAAGTTCCATAAAAGGCAGAGAATTTCATAACAGCGATTCTTAATTTATGAAGAATAAATCGACTCTTTGGAATTATTTATTTAAAAACAATGCAAATATTTAAAAAGGAACATTGTTAGACATTTCCCGCTGTCTGAGATGTAGGATTATTTTACGTGTACGACGTTTCGGGACTTAACTTTATTCCAGTATTCATGTGATTGGTTGTTTTGATACTGGTACATTTAGTTTTTAGGGACCAAATCCGGGACCTTTCGAATCAATCACCTGACCGAAAAGTCGTGTTTATAAATTTTCCCTCAGACAATTTCTCAATATAATGTGTATATAACGAATCATCCATTTTCACAGACTTTTAGACAATAATTGAATGTAAGTAAGTGACTTTTAGAACTGAAGCTATAAAAGGCAATTGAACCTAATAAGCAACGTAAGATGGCCTATAGAAATAAATATTATAAAAAGACTTATGTAATTTATGTTCACAGACACACACCAGTATTTCACTGTTTTTATACGTAATTTGATGACGTCACCAAGGCATTGTGGGTATTGTTATTAAGTAAACATCCCCTGACTCAGTCTGTCTTCCACATTCGTATTGGTGGAACAATTTGGGATTTTGGGGGTGTTCAAGTCAATATCTAGCCCTCTGACGGTCGGGCTTCACAACAACCCCAACCACAGCCTTCTTATTCCGTCTCCACCACCTTTCCTTCCCTCGGAAATCACTCAGAAAGCTATTATGGAAATCACAGTGAGATATATAGAGCATAGTCTAATGGGTGCTTCCCTGGTGTCCGAGTGACGTTTGCTAGCTTTGGCGTCCCCCCACGTGTTCTGAACAGGTTGTGCCTTACATCCACTTCATATCACTATCTTTTACTTTTGATTTGTTGTACAAGATTGTAAAATGATGATCATAACGTACATTTGGTACACAAGCGAATATATCGATTCATAAAATCGATATAATGTTAAGAATTAGGAATGTCTGTATATGAAATATTAACACAGATTATTATGGTATTTAACGATGGTCTGACAGTCACTGATCGTAAATAGATCATGATCGATGGTGAAATTTCATTATAAGAGAAAGTGGGATGCTAGAGAAAATGTTAGTTGTGTTCTACCCGATCCCCACATAAACAGGTATCAGAATTGATTTTTTATTTAAAGAAATTCACCTCTCATTTGGGACAAATCACACCTTGCTTCTTTAAGATACGTTAAATGGTATCCTTCCGCCTTCGATTAGTTCCCCTAAATGACATCTCCTCTTTAGACAGTTGGAATGTAGGGACTAAATGTAATAGCCTAAGTAGATCTGTGCACACTGAAATAATTAACGCATAAAATTGTTTATAAAGTTACCTGAAGCTAACGTCGATTAATAAATCCCACACAAACCGAACTATTATCTGCGCAATTTTGTATGAAATTATATAAAATGTACAGGTGTACAGAAAATTATTTTAGAACATATTTCTTCTCGCAGAAACACTTCTAAACGATCTAAAACTTCTTGACGATGGTGAAGAGTCAATTGAATAAAAATTTTCTTGGATATTATCCATCGTCTAGTAAATATAAAACGTAAATCGACGTTTCAGAGATGGGACTCTATCTCCGTCTTCAGGTTCCTACACAGTTGGGCCCACTAGATAGAGCTAGTCCCTATGTCCGGACGATGTTTGTTGTTAAAGTGGAACGTAAATGTTACGTCCTTCTCCCGCTAGTAAGCGCTGTTACTCATAGTACGGTAATATGGTATCCCTTATTATTTATACTACGTTTATTGTACATGGAAAATGTGAGATTTAAGTTTATAATCATCTCTTAAATATGTGAAAATTGGACTTAAATGAATATGGTTTCTTTCTTGGCTGTTGCACCAAGAAGTCTTGTAGCATATACTACTGCTTGCTGAAGTGTTACGTAAGACTACATAGCGAACAGCTTTAAAAGGCAGCCATCTTAATATTCGCCACCATGAAAACCTACAACCTCACAATAAACGGTCATGACAATTATTATATCATAACATGTAGGCTACTTGTAAATCAACATAGAATCTTTCTAACGCAGTGTCATATTTAGTAAATTACTTACGTGCTTCATTCGTCCTCGTTTAATCCTTCCGGTCAGTCTAACCTAACCTTACTTTTCTCCTTCGCGTGTCCGATGCCACTGAGCCTCCCGCCCTCTCGCAGCGTAGTGTGAAACTTCGCCCACCGCCTTCCTGTTCAGTTCATAATGAACAGCTGGGGAAAAAAAATACGTATCCTAAATGTAATGGGAAAGAAGATTACTTTGTTCCCATAATTCGATTTTCGAGCGAGATTAATCGACAGACTTTGCTTATATCCAATTATTTTGAGTTAAAATCGATAGCATGTTCTGTTGTGTGTTTGCAATGCATGCACCTGTAGAAATAGCTTGCTTCATGTATTGAGACCGTTGTAAAAGTCAGCCTACATCAAAGTACATCCCAATTTCTTTATTTAATTCGAAAGTTGTTGGTAATTTTCGATACTAGCATCTCACGTTTTCAACTGTAGTATTCAGCGCCCACAATCATCGCACATTTACAGCGAGTGATTTTTGTTTCTAATTATTTATTCATTAAATTAGTCTTGAAACTGGGCGCTACTTTGAATAAACTGTGACATCTGTAGATGGACGTACGACTATGTCGGACCGACATTTTTAAAATTTATTATATATTTCACACATTCCAATGTCCCAAGCTGTTATTCTCTATCGATATATCTGTTTTTCTTCTGAAGTAAGTGTCATTTATGGAAACTGAATTACGTACATTATGCACGAAAATATTTTACATTTTTTTTTTTGGTTTGTGTCTGTGATATATTTTAAATTGCATGAGTATTTCATATGCACGATTATGTTCCTTGTACTGATATAAATATTTGTAACTTACGTCTTAGTAACTAGATTATGTGTTTAAACTTATTAAATTATTACAGATTTGTTATAAGTGAAGTGTGGGATATCTTAAGACCCAAGGAGATTTATACACAAAACGAAATTTTAAAGCGAACTTTAATGTATTTTACAGCAAAAACTTTATGACTTCCACGTCTTGAAGACTGTAGTGGCAAATAGAATTTATTTAACGGTAATAATTACCGTTAATTTTTAAAGTAGGGCCTAAAATATAAATTATAGGCAAATGAGAATAAATAATACTTATCTATACAGTTACTAGCTACACAGAAAAATGTGTTTTAAAATTTTAATTTACTAATTAATTTTTTGTGTACAAAGATTATGTATCTCTAAGCAAAGTATATGCGAATTCCAAATTCTGAAAATTTGTTTTAACACATTTATTCAGTTAATTTTATAATTCCATTATTAATCACTAATAACAAACACCAGTTTAATAAAACTACAATGCTTAATGCATATTTTCTCAAGTGTTACATAATGCCAAAATTTGTAGGACAGAATTCAGTTAGCATATTCATTGTTCTTAATGACGTCACAGAATAGCCGACCTAACCTAACTTATGTGAAAATAGCCACCCTTAATCACAGACTTATAAAATGGGAGTATATACGTCTTACACGAACCAGAGGCTGTCATAATGTGTTTCAAATTAAACTTTATGGATCTCTTATACTAAATTTTAGTTGTTTAAAATTGGTTACTTTAATTTGAAAAAAAAAATCCGATTTAAATAGTATTTTATTAAATCGGTAATTCTTACTAGCAGAAAGAGCATGGCTGAAACCAAAAATATAAATTTGCTCCTTAAAACTGTATTATCTGCTGGAGTACGATATCTTTTTCTTCTTTGACAATGAGTTTTATTAAATGCCATTTTGTTCTGTATTCGTTTCATAACTACTCCATTAATCTACATGTCACATCATCACTTTGGTATGAATCTTTGGGGTTAACTTTCGTCTCTTCTGCTAAAACGTTATATTACATATAAGAACTAATATCTTCCTGTTTTTGATGTGGACTCTAAGAAGTTTGAAGAGATTAATTTGTGTAATCATCACTCCTTAGTTGGCAAGCATCACTTGCTAGTGAAAATTCTCGTAAATATTGAAATAGTGTTAAGGTTGGCTATATTTGGAACTAAGCATTATGATAGGAGGAAGAGGATATTATTCCATTAAAGCATTTGGGAACTTAACGCCGTTAATTTTTTATCTTAAAATTCAAATTATCGATTAATTTTCAAATTGTTAATGTCAGGTGTCAATAAAACGCAACGTATTTTATTTGATATGAAAGTAATTGAATGTTTCGTGTTTTAGCTTGCAAGAGGAAAGAAGATGTACAGAACCAAGCCGACCACACGCCCACGCCCAAGAAGCCCCGATTGGTTTTCACCGACCTACAGCGCCGTACTCTACAGGCTATTTTTAAGGTGTCCAAAGTGTCAGCCATTTTGTTTTCCCGCCATTTTGTTTTCCCGCAGTCACTCATTTTGTGTAAAGACGATGATCAAAGTAACCGGGAAGTGTCCGAGAATATTCGATACAAAAATAAACAAAACATCAAGAATATCAGGAAATATATTGGTACAACACTGGAAATTTGTTTAAAGAAATTGCATAATCTCCTTAAATGACACCATGAAGGAGATTAGGTAAAACAGGTTGAGAGTTCGGTATCTCCAGCATGTTGCTGAAGAGTGTCTTCGATGAAGAATTGAATTGTTTTCTTACGATCAGAACAATTGAATAAATAGCAGAGTGTTTTATCAAGCGACGGATAATTTAGGAAATAGAAATTATATTTCGTAATTAATTTTTCGGGGTCCAGGTTTATTCAATTACATATGAAAGCACATAAACTTAATTAAATTCTCCAGAACACAATCATTAGATATTAGTTATAGATGTAAACGATATGCATTTATATAAGTACGAATATAAAATGTTTAATATAACATATCGCACCATATTTAACGGAAATAGGTACTCAGATATATTTAATGTAATTAAATATAAATTCGAGTGTTTGGATCATAAGAAATATAGGATTTTACCACAGAATTTGTCGGAGACCGAATACAATTGAATGTGACGTATCTCAGTTAATTCGATTATGGAAAAACTACGTAGGTTGTAAGTTCGATGATGTGTTTTAACGAAAACTTAAATAATTTTTTTAGTGATTTTGAATACCTTCTTTTCGGAATTCAGTTAGAATGTAACTTAAATAATTTTTTTAGTGATTTAGATTACCTTCGTTTCAGAATTCAGTTAGAATGTGAATGAAGAAAACATTACGAGAAAAATCATTGTTAATGACGAATTTTACATGAAGATATGGAGTAAGATTAACGGAATCATTGACAGTTGATATCGATGTCTAGGAAGGAAAACTATGTGGAGTATTAAATTAGACTGAATAATTGGCGAGTTCACAAATGTAATTATCGTGTTTATAATTTGAAATATGCGGAAGGAATTCTTAATTTTTTATGTTACTTTTATTTTTTAAATTTACTGATCTGCGGTAAGATATATGATCCGGGAATATATATTTTGCAAAATCTTCTATAATAATAACGAGCAATTAGTACTACGTCGTTTTCAATAGAAGTATTGTTTTCTGTTAAAATATAAATGTCAAATACACTTGATGACATAAACCGATACTTACGACATTAATAGTTATGAAAAAGCGAATATCCGGTGACTTCAGCGCTAAAAATATCCTTGAATAGGAATCGATAATTTGCACAACTTTCTTCTCAGAAATACTAATTAATTAATATTTAATTTTTACGTCGAATATTACATACTGCTGAAACACTGTTTCATTTTTACACTTTGGAGTGTTTTCTTGACTAAAATTCTGACTAGATAAATAATTTCTTAGGTGTGTCATCCCAATATGTTCATTGAATATGCAGCTTTATTCAGATTGCGTTAAAGTGACTCAGAAATTAAACAACAAATCAGTATATACATATTTAAAAATTTCGTAACTAAAGAAAATTTTTAAGTATTAAATTAAGTTTCCACAACGTGGGAAATGGGATGCTAGTAATAACCAGGGAATATTAAAATATTATAATAAAAAGCGTTTTAAATTTCTTTGGAATTGAATCGAATAATTTTAATAAGCATTAATGAAGAGAATAAGAACTCGCTTTAAGTTGAACTATATAAATTAATTCTGCGTTAAATTAGCAACAGAAAAACATAAAACGTGACGTTTTAAAATGAGCCTTATGTATGAGAATGTATCATACACTCAACTTCAAATTGAAACTTAAACCATATTTGTGTGTTAGGAGTATAAATTTTGAAATTATAAAAGTACAGAATCGTGGATATCATCTAGAAAAATATAAGTACTAACTTTCAGGACGATTCTTATTAATCAAGTTTTCAGAAACACCAGAGCTCGAATTAGCCAGTTGTGTCTACAGCAAGCGAAAGTTTTAGCCCCAAACTCACATTACCAGCATGGAATCGAATATACGAAATTAATTTATAATAGTGAAAATGAACCTGTTTTGTCTCGAACTTCATGTAAAAAATATTAATAACACGATCGTAATATAGATTACAAAAAACACAAATAATAATTGAATAAATTGTTGGTTCCTAGTTCAACTATTGAGATATATACAAGCTGAAAACCGACATGTCATTTTATATTCTCCGTACGCAGTTCATGAATTGTGTATGTTTCCAAGGCATATGAAACATAAACATATTCTAACGAATACGATGAGGAAATTTTCCAAACATTAATGAATTTTACATTGTGTTTAGCAGTCGTATATGAACACCGCGTATTTTTTTTATATAAAAACTAAGATAAATTCTTTTGTTCTAGCGGAATATAATTCATTATTTAATCGTGATAGACGAGACACGAACTGAAAAGCTTTATCGCAGCTGACAGTTCCTGGTATACAAGAAAGAAAGTAAACATAATTTGAAATCTAACAAATGGAATGATTGGATTTTTCCGTTTCGTTGGAAATTCTGTCCTACATCAAAACAAATAGACATGTTGACTTGCCGTAAGTTTTCCGCGCTATTAAACATTTCAATAATAAAGTAAACAAGAATTTAATAATTTACCATTATTTCAATATCAGATTAATTATATTATTGCCGATAAAATACGTCCAGGTGAATTATAATTAATTTACCAACACAACTATTCGATAACTTGTTTTCGTGTTAATATTCACGTACATTAGCATTCATAGTCAGTGGGAAATTAGATTATTCTTAGGAAAAGTGGGATATTTTGTTGGGTTACGTTGAATGCTATCCAGTGTTCGAGATATATTTCATAACAGGACTTAGTTCTACTCGCGTCGTCAGGTTATTTATGGATTTTTTTTTTATAATTTCAGAGAGTGTCTACAAGTCGGACAAACCTGTGTCTCGTAGTTAGCATACTGTTATAGCAATCAAAACACACATAAACCGCGCCCCCACTAATCTTAAAAGCGAATACATTTCAAAATCTGTCACTGATATAAATTTTTCTCATTTGACTAAAAACTATTTAAGCATTATAATATGGCTTTGGATGATTTGCTTGAATATTGGGGCGAAGAAATTGTTTAGTCGTATTTTGTACATTAATGAAAAAATACTGACGTTCTTTGAACTCTAAAATTAACAATTAACGTACTTCGTTAAATTAATTAAAAGTTTTTACATTGTAAAGTTTTGCTGCTTTTGAAGAAATACGTACCATATCTTTCATCAGAATAAATTAAATACTTAGTAACAGACCGCAACATCTAAATATTTATACTCTGAAGATGAAGGAAACATTCTTCTCTGAACCGTTTGTAACCACATGCAACACAGTACGGAGATATTGTATATACAACTAGACTATGAAATTAAAGACAAGAATCATATTAACAACTTGATCCAAATAAAATTTTACCATCACGGAAATATAAAATTCAACGCTAAACTTTAACAATCGCCTCGAAGTAAAATACTGTAAACTTCAGAAGTACATTCAAGATCGAAATGAAGTATATTATTTTACTAGAAAATCTGGAATAATAAAAATTATGTTAATGTTATAAAAGTAAAAATTTTCAGAATCGATTTAGCTGCAGAACAGAATAAGTGATTGATTTTAAATACGTTATTCCAACAAAATATATATTGTCCATAAACACGCATCGTCGGACAATTTTAACAATCATGCTTTACGAATATTGTTTTTCCCAAAAAAACTGCGTCTAGAATGTCGGAAATAATTAACAAGAAATTATTTAATTATAATATGAGGCATACTTACAGAATCACGTTAATGCGGTTCAATATTCTGCAGCTTTAAAAAAATATATTTGAATTGACAAATAAACGATCCGTATGAAATCACAACTGTGGGCATAAATTATATGGTATTCATTCCTAGAAATACTTAGCATCAAATGATAAGTCCACACTTAAACTAAGACACTTAGCACGAAGAAGTATTTAGTAAGAAAGATGTTAGTTTGTGATCAAATATAAAAACAAATTTTACGAAAACAATTTATGGAATTTATTGGTATGGATTATATATAAAGAAACTATTCTCAAAGTACCTGAAGATGTACAAAAACGTAACTTTTATTAAAAATATTGTCACGTATGATTTAATGCTTCTCAGAGAGTTAATTTAATAAGTAAGTAAATTAATCTGTGCTACGTATACGCCTTAAGAAACAATTGTAATTGTATTAAAGAATTTTTGAAGACGTTTTCAGCGTCGAGCAAACAGCCAACCGACAAATCAAATTTAAACTCTGCTAAATGTACAAGCCTCGTCGAATCCATAATTACACTGTATGAATATTCCGTTCCTAAACTGATTATAAGATTTCTGCAAGAAATATAAATGTGATCGATGCCCCTTTCGTCTTCGCCTGTTTTAATGAAAACTTCTATGAAACTTTTGTGCTCTAATGTTTATTCATAATAAAAATAAACTGGATGCGTCCTTTGTTTGCAGTGTATTTCAGTCTGAATAACTTTACTTAAAGATACAAATGACACGAACAAAGATGTTACATTATTTCTTAACCAGCGTGCAATAAAGTTACAAGATGTATCACAAGGTCAGGATAGAAATATAGTACTGAAGTTGGAATTGATAACTTCATATTTATCTTATTAGACTTTATATCGATTTATACTGTCGCTTTTAATATCAAACGATATCTCAGATTAGTAAGTTGGAAAAAGATTAATTAAAATATCTTCAAAGAAAATTACGTAAACATATACTTAGGATACGTCGAAAAAAACTAAGAATTATTAAATATGTCTGGAGAAAATTGTATGGATTATGTTATTTGAATATCAAGGACCCTTGAAAAATAATACTAATTTTTATATGTACCGTGTTTATGTGACGCTGTATCATGAGCAAATT